TTGGTCTGGGGAGAATCCTTCTTGCAGCTGTCTAATTAGCACAAATGTGGCAGAAGGAAGGGATCAACCCCATCAGATACTCCAAATGCATTTTCCCAATTAACCACTCCAAGGAATGGTCCAGGGTGTCTCTTTTCCTTATACTCATTAACTCTGAAATTTCCATTCTTTGTTAACATTTCTACTTTCATGCCACTCTTCTTGTGCAATGAAAAATACATATATACATATATATATGTATATGTATAATTTTTTTAACCAATCTTTTATTATCTGCCTTTGGTGTTAAACTTAGAATGGTCTTCTGTACTCCCTCTCCCTTCCAAAATTATAAATATTCATCTATTTTCTTCTTTTACTATTTTTGTAATTTCATGTTTTACATTCAAATCTTTCAACCATCTGGAATTTATTCTAATGTCAGCCATGACTTGGAAATCTAAACTTAAATTTTTTCCTAATGGTGAGCCAGTTGTACCCACCATGCTTTCCATGTGTGGGCTTTTAAAAGTCAGCTCAGCCCCCAGAGCTCCATAAAAGCCCAAAACTTAAGAATAGAAAAGCTAGGACTATAACTCTGTCAGATCCTAATCTCTGCTCCATTACTGCTCATGAAGGGACTCTGGCAGAGCTTGGTTCTCCCTAGGGGAAAGCCCTGACCAATGATGTAAAGCCAGTGGGGCTGAGGCCGTGAGAGGATGTGTAGAGAGCCCTCTAGAGTTTCATGGCTGCTGTGTTCCTGCCACTGGGCATGGCCTCTTGAGAAACAGCCACTCAGCCTTGCAAGAAACCCCAAGGGCCCCACGCTCTACTCTTTAACTGTATATTCTTTCATTACCCCGCTGTCCTTTTCTTATAGATCACTCAAAGTCCAGCTCATGCCACTTCTCTGTGAAGCCTGCCTTGATAGGCCCAGTGAGGCTTGGCTGCTCCTCCTAGTTCCCACTGCATTTTACACAGATCTCTAATACGATTTTTGTTCATTGTTTATGTTTCTGTGGTGGATGAATGAATTAGTTAGCAAATAAACTAAGTTACTAAGCATCAAGGATCCTGTCTTCCAGGTGCAAGGAGAGAAGGAGAGCCTCCAAAGGATACAAACTTGCTACTGACCTTCTAGATGTGTTCATCTGCAGTGCCTGTTGAGGCCCAGGTGTTCATGGCACATCGGTTGTCACCCCAGAGCAGCTGTGACTTTGATGAGGTGCCTGAAGCTGTGGAGTCTTTTTTTTTTTTTTTTTTAAACCAAGTAGGTCCTGAAGATACCAGGGAGTATCAACTTCGTCTCTTTTCTCAGGGAGCTGACAACCTGGTGTAGAAGTGTGTAGTCAGAATCTTGGAAGAACTTTAGGAAGGAAAGAACCAGGCATATCAAAACCCTCAAAGAGAGCAAGTAATGTAGCTGAGTTGGAGGACTGTCTATAAAATATATGCCTCCGCAGCAAACCAGCATTTCCTGTGTGCTCAATCAGTGTCAGGCTCTAAACTCTTCATACACTCATCTCATCTGTTCCTTCTGAAAACCAGGTGGCACTATCAGTTTCATTTTGTAGATGAGAAAAGGGGCTTGCAGAGAGGTAAAATGATTTACCTATGGTCACAATAAGGAAGCCACAATCTGAAGCCCAGGTGAGGAAGGGCTCAGCTTCAGAGAAGAACTTAATCTTTGGCCATCTGAACTCCCTTGGCTCTCCTTTTACTTAGAACTACCTGGTGGAGTTTAACAGAATTTTGTTTTGATTTCTGGGCCTTTGCTTCTGTGGTAGAGATAAACTCCACCCTTTCTGGTCTCTCTAGGTCCTAATACAGGACCTGGCACACCAGCTGGCTAAATAATGCAGGAAGAAAACCAACATTTTCAAACACATTATGTCCATCTCAGAGCTTGCACTGCTCAAAATTTATCCCTCTGAATTCTCACCTGAAGATTATGTGAGATGTAGCCAGGAACCATGAAAATGCCCATTCCTTGGACCTGTCTTTCGCACTGTTTCCTTGGGAATGATCACTTTTTTCCAAAAGATAGTTTACACTCTGAGCATTACTTAAGATAATCTCTTAAATTACATATAACACAAAATTTATCATCTCAACCATTTTCAAGCATTTAGTTCAGTAATGTTTCTTATATCCACATCGTTGTGCAATATACAAAATAAACTTTCTCTTCTTGCAAAAACTGAGACTGTATGCCCATTAAACAACTCCCCATTCCTCACTCTTCCCGCTTCCCCTGGAAATGATGATTCCACTTCTATCTTCTATTAATTTGACTACTCTAGACACCTCATATAAGCGAATCCTACAGTATTAGTCTTTCTGTGATTGGCTTATTTCACTTAGTGTAATGTCCTTTGTGGCATGTGTCAGAATTTCCTTTTTTAAAAAACATGGAATAATAGTCCATCCAGATACCGGTTTTTTGTTTAATTTTTAGCTTTTCTATTGTTTACAGTTTCTGTCTTTGCTATTACTTCCTAGTTTTAGTGCATTGTGGTAAGAAACTGTTATCTGTATTCACTCTACTTTTTGGAATGTATTGAGGGGTTTTTAGTTCATTTTTTTTTTTATGGCCTTACGCGTAGTCATTTGGTAATGATCCACCCACGCCTAACAAAGTACACATTCTAGGTTTTCAAGATACGGAGTTTGACAGCTTTAATTCAATCTACCTTGCTAATTTAACAAATCAAGTCCTCTATAGCTTCACTTTTTGTATGGTTTATTTATTGATCAGTCATGTGCTAAGAGAGGTGAATTAAAATGTTCTGTTACTATATTTATGTCCATTTCTCTGTGTATTTCCTATTGTTTTTGTTTTATGAATTCTGATGTTCTATTATTTATGACAGATCTTCATTGTTGCTGTCTGTCTTTATCATTATAATATTTTCTCCTGTATCTTATTTTCTGATTTTCTGTGAATTCAACCATGCCTAATATTAATAGCAAAACCTTTGTTTTCTTGTTGCTTGTATTTGCATGTATGGCATTTGTTCTTGTTTTCTATTTTTTTCCTACTCTTTTACTTTCAGTATTTCCGAGGAACATTATTTTAGATGCATCTCTTGCACGCAGCACTAGGTGGGTTTTATTTTGTGACTCCATGAGCTGTTTCTGAAGACTGAGGTTAGCAGGTCAAAGTTAAAGAAAGCTTCTTTAGCTCTTGACCCCCATGGCTGAATAAACTGCTTTTTTTACTGGCTGGACCACTTTATCCTGTCACCAGTCATTTAGAAGCAAGCCATCTCCCCACCATTGCCAGCATGGCTATTTACCGCTGCTTAAATTTTTAATAGGTGAAAATGGGACCTCATTGTTCTCACATTTGCTTTTCTTGGCTCTATCTAATTCTACCTTAAGTAAATAAAGATGAAAGAAAAAAGAAGTCAAAATGAGGGGTGCCTGGCTGGCTCAGTTGGTGGAATGGGTGGCTCTTGATCTCAGGGTTGTGCGTTCAAGTCCCACAGTGGGTGTAGAGATTACTGAAAAATAATAAAATCTTAAAAAAAAAAAAGGTCAAAATGAAACAGTCCTTTTCAGATATCTCCAGTGAGATTAAGATGGGTGGTGGTGTTTTTTATTCTAGATTCCCATGACATTGGACCAATCATTTCTCACAGGCTCCTCAGCTTGGGCCTTGAATTTTCCCAGGAGAAATTGTCAAGGTTCCTTCCTCACAGCCCAACACCTTGCTTTCTTTCCTTCTGTAGTGAATAGGCAACATAACAAAATAGGAAGTTATAGGGTCTGGAGCTAGATTAAATGGATTTAAATCCCAGCTCCATCTCTATTTACTAGCTGTGTGATCTATGACAGTTACTTACCCTCTCTGTGCCTTTTTTCCCTGAGGTAATAATTCTCAAGGGTGATAATGACTACAACAGTGATACCTACTGGGGTTGTTGTGTAGAAGAGTTGACTTGTGCACACTCAGACAGGAATTTCTTTCTTTCTTTCTTTTCTTTTTTTAATTTCAGGAGGCAGTTCCTCTTTGGTTTTTGTTTTGTTTTGTTTTGTTTTAATTTCAGGAGGCAGTTCCTCTTTGGTTTCTTCAAGTGCTGATCTTCAGAGAGAGCGCCTCCTTGAGAGCCAGGAGCCTGTCTATGGCCCTGCTGGAGTGTGCGGCAGTAGTCCTGCTTGACTGCGTTATCTAGTATCTCTGAGTGGTGCTTTGGAGCTGATTATAAAATGTAGTTTCCGGCCACTTTAACATAGGGCAGAGCAAACATGTATTTCTCCCAATCTCAGAGCACTTTCTCTTTACTTAAGGCAGAGGCTGAAGGGTAGCAGAAGGTGCCACCCCAAAATAGGACTGCGGGAGTTCAGGACATGCCATCCCAAATTCTGCAGCCTTGGTATGTTGATTATTTTAAGCTGTGGGCACTTGAAAAACAGCAAATGCAGGGAGCAGCTTTTTCTGAATGTAACTTTTCTGTTAAATCCTCCAAAAGGAACTCAGTTGTCATAAAACCCATCCCAGGGAGTTTAATCAAGCAGGGAAGATTGACTCTCATCACAAGAGAGCAGCCTGGAAATGCACACCACACCTAGACAAACTTTGCTGCACACTATTATATCTCCTATCCTTCTAGAGGCCAATTTGACTTCCCCCCAAATCATTTATTCTTTAAGCCCTACATCCTCCCCCATTTCCCTATTAAGATGGTATTTAAACCTAAATTCTTTTTTAAAAGATTTTATTTATTTGAGTAAGAGAGAGAGAGAGAGAATGCATTGGTACCAGAGGAGGGGCAGAGAAGCAGACTCCCTGCTGAGCCAGGACCCTGACAGGGACTCAGTCCCAGGACTCTGGGATCATGACCTGAGCAGAAGGCAGCTGCTTAACCAACTAAGCCACCCAAGGTACCATTAATCCTGAATTCTAAGCCACCTTGGGGAATCATTAATTTTTCCAGGGTATCTCCCTGTATATATGAGGTATATATATTAATAAGCTTCTGTTTGTTTTCCTCTTATTATTCTGTGCTTTATTGCAGGAATCTCAGCCAACTCAGAAGGATAGAGAGAAAATTTTGAGGATGGGATCGCTGAAACTCTGCCCTGATGAAATACTGGGAAAACTGGCAGAAGGATAAGAGTTCTTATTAAAATCAGCTCTCCTGGATCTCTGTCTGTGGTGCCCAACTGAGAAAGGAAGGTAAAATTTTATCTTGTCCCTTCGTCTTCAAATTCAGATTTGCTGAGAAAAACATTTGTAAGAATGAATTCTTTGAAGTGTGACTCTCATGAATTTGGTTTTGGGGATACCCTTGGGCTATTTATCCTTTACAGTCCAGGGACAGCTATTGCTTTCCTGTGTGTCTCGTTTTGCATCCTGAGAGTTTGACTTGGCACGCAGGTTGTTGGTTCGTGTGCATGCACGTGACTAGTTCCAGTCTTGGCAGGGTTGTCTCTTTTGCACCATCTTTAAGGGGTATGACTGTATCCATGTTAAGTCACAAAAGGCTTGTTAGTTTTTGTTTTGAGCCACTTGATGAGTATACCTTTGGTTTAAAAGAAAAAGGAAAAAACTAATTTATTTCTTTTTTAAAGATTTATTCATTTATTTTAGAGAGAAAGGTGGGAGGGGCCAGAGAGAGAGAGAGACACCCAAGTAGACTCCCTCCTGAGCAGAGAGCCCAACACACCAGGCTGGATTCCATGACCCTGAGATCACGACCCGAACTGAAATCAAGTTGATGATCAACTGACTGAGCCACCCAGATGCCCCAGGAAAAAAATAATTTAAAAAGAAGTTTAGGGGCACCTGGGTGGCTCAGTGGGTTAAGCCTCTGCCTTCAGCTCGGGTCATGGTCTCAGGGTCCTGGGATCAAGCCCCATGTCGGGCTTTCTGCTCAGCGGGGAGTCTGCTTCCCCCTCTCTCTCTGCCTGCCTCTCTGCCTGCTTGTGATCTCTCTCTCTGTTAAAAAAAAAAAAAAAGTTTAATACTGTCAGAAATAGTTATGGTTTGTTCCAGCTGATAATAAGTTGTGGAAAGAATTTTTTAAGATTTTATTTGTTTATCTGACAGAAAGAGAGAGAGCACAAGCAGGGGAAGGGCCAAGGGAAAGGAAGAAGCAGGTTCCTGGCTGAATGAGGATCCTGACACCAGGATGCTGAGATTATGACCTGACCCAAAGGCAGATGCTTAGCCAACTAAGCCATCGAGGTGCCCCTAGGTAGTCTTTGGTAAACAAGAATATCGTTGGTTTAGTTAAAAAAAAAAATCAGCATGTCTTCAAGAACTGTCAGCATTAAAAATAATGCAAACATACAATTTTATTCTAGCTGGGTATACTAGTCAAACATCTGTCAGGAAAAATAGTAACTTAAAACGATGCCTAACTTTTTCTAATGTCTCATGAAATTTTCATGACTGATCTAAACATAATTGTTAAGAAAAAGTGAATCAACTAAACGTAGGTGGCATAAAAGTTTTAAGTTATCTTTTCAACAATGATTATGTTTTATAAAATATGTCTACTTAAAAACATTTCCGGGCACCTGGGTGACTCAGTTGGTTAAGTCACTGCCTTCGGCTCGGGTCATGGTCCCAGTGTCCTGGGATCAAGTCCCACATTGGGCTCCTTGCTGAACGGGGAGTCTGCTTCTCTCTCTGCCTCTGCCCACCACTCTGCCTGCCTGTGCTCACTCTCTCTGACAAATATATAAATAACTAAAATCGTTTAAAAAAAATTTTTTTTCCAAGGGGCGCATGGGTGGCTCAGTGGGTTAAGCGTCTGCCTTTGGCTCGGGTCATTGTCCTGGAAACTGAGCCCCACATCAGGCTCCCCACTCAGTGGGCAGCCTGTATCTCCCTCTCCTTCTGCTGCTCCCCCTGCCTTGCTCTGTTGCTCACTCTCTGTCAAATAAATACATAAAATCTTTTTTAAAAATTTCCAAAATCTTTTTGGTAACTTGAAACTTTAAATTTTTACTAAGTTAAATGATAGATATTCACTGAATACCAAGATCATTTCCAAATAAGATAATGTACTGAAACATTAATTGCTAAATATAAGTCTAAGTTTAACTACTTTTGTCCTCTTATTTTTTTTTAAAGATTTTATTTATTTATTTGACAGAGAGATCACAAATAGTCAGAGAGGCAGGCAGAGAGAGAGAGAGGAGGAAGCAGGCTCCCCACTGAGCAAAGAGCCTGATGTGGGGCTCGATCCCAGGACCCTGGGACCATGACCTGAGCTGAAGGCAGAGGCTTTAACCCACTGAGCCACCCAGGTGCCCCCCTCTTATTTTTTTTTAAAGATTTATTTATTTATTTATTTATTTGAGAGAGAGAGACAGCGAGAGAGGGAGCACAAGCAGGGGAAGTGGGAGAGGGAGAAGCAGGCTCCCCACTGAGCAGGGAGCCCGATGCGGGGCTCGATCCCAGGATCCTGGGATCATGACCTGAACTAAAGGCAGAGGCTTAACCCACTGAGCCACCCAGGCTCCCCCTTTTGTCTTCTTATTACAGAGGAATAATAGCTATTTTGACACCCACAGAATATTGTTGTGACAGTTCACAGTTGCTTACTTCTTAGTGTTCGCTAGAAATTAAGGTTTCGGGGGTGCTTGGGTGGCTCAGTGGGTTAAGCCTCTGCCTTAGGATCAGGTCATGGTCTCAGGGTCCTGGGATCAAGCCCTACATCAGGATCTCTGCTCAGCAGGGAGCCTGCTTCCCCCTCTCCCTCTGCCTACCTCTCTGCCTACTTGTGATCTCTCTGTCAAATCAATAAATTTCAAAAATCTTAAAAAAGAAAAAATCTTTAAAAAAAAGAAAGAAATTAAGGTTTCTAAGAGTTCAAAATTCTAATTAATGTATTTAATTAAAACTAGTAGAAAAAAGCTCTATATGCAAAATATGTAAGAAAAGTAGTGTTTGTTTTTGGTAAGAAAAGGCATGTGTTATGGAGACATATTTTTGTTAAGGGAAAAAGAATAATTTTGTCCTAAAATAGAATAACTGGTCATTCCAGAATGAAAAAGAGAAGAATTAAAAAAAAAAGAAAGAAAAAGAAAAAGATAAGACAAAGGACAAAAACTAGATAGATACAGAAAGTTGGAGAGAGAGAGTAAGAGTGAGAATGAGACAGAGACTCTCATCTCATGTAGTCAAACTGACCAAAACAGAATGAATTTGTTAAGAGGGTTTTAGAAATAAGCCTTAGTATCAAGAGTGTGCCTATGCAAAACTAAAATTTAATTTTCTTTCATCTGTTAAAAGGAAAAATTTCTCTTGGTTTATTGGTGTACTCTTTCAAAAAAATTGAGATATACCTGACATATAACATGATGCTAATTTCAGATGTGCAACACAGTGATTTGGTATATGTCTATATGATCACCGCAATAAGTCTGGTTAACATCCATAAGCACACAGTTATATTTTTTTCCTCTTGTAATGAGAATTTTTAAGATTTATTTCATTCACCTTCCACCCCCTCTGGCAACTCTGTTCTCTGTATGTATAAGCTTGGCGGGGGTGGTTTTTCATGTTTTAGATTGCACATGTAAGTGAGATCATACGGCATTTGTCTTTCTCTGTCTGACTTGTTTAATGCCCTCAAGGTCTGTCCATGTTGTTGCAAATAGCAAGCTCTCATTCTTTTTATGGCCAAGTAATATTCCATTGAATATGTATAAACCACATTTTCTTTATCCATTTATCCATCTGTGGACACTTAGGTTGTTTTCTGTTTCCTTTGGGTAAATACCCAGAAGTGGAATTGCTAGATCATATAGTAGGTCTATTTTTAATTTTCTGAGGAATCTCCATACTCTTTTCCATAGTGGCTGCACCAACATACATTCCCACAAGCAATGCCTGAGGGCTCCCTTTTCTCACATCCTCGCCAACACTTGTTGTTTCTTCACTTTTTGGTAATAGCTATTCTAACAGATGTGAGGTGATCTCTCGTTGTAGGTTTTTTTTTTTAAGATTTTATTATTATTTATTTATCTGACACAGAGAGAGAAAGAGAACACAGCGGGGGTAGGGGCAGCCAGAGGGAGAGGGAGAAGCAGGCTCCTCGTTGAGCAGGGAGACCAACACAGGGCAGGGCGACACAGGGCAGGGCAATCCCAGTACCCTGGGATTATGACCTGAGCTGAAGGCAGAAGCTCAATGGACTAAGCCACCCAGGCACCCCTCGTTGTGGTTTTGATTTAAATTTCCCTGATTAGTGATGTTGAATTAAGTGATGTTGAAATACATGTTTTCATGTTCCTGTTGGCCATCTGTATTTCTTCTTTGGAAAAATGTCTATTTAGATTCTCTGCCTATTTTTTATCAGATTGATATCAGATAGTTTATCAGATTTTTGGTGTTGAGTTGTATGAGTTATTTGTATATTTTGTTTTTGGTTTTTTTGTTTTTTTAAGATTTTTTTAAAGATTTTATTTATTTATTTGACAGAGAGAGATCACAAGTAGACAGAGAAGCAGGCAGAGAGAGAGAGGGAAGCAGGCTCCCTGCTGAGCAGAGAGCCCGATGCGGGACTCGATTCCAGGACCCGGAGATCATCACCTGAGCCGAAGGCAGCAGCTTAACCCACTGAGCCACCCAGGCGCCCTTTTTTTAAGATTTTATTTATTCATTTGACAGACAGATCACAAGTAAGCAGAGAGGCAGGCAGAGAGAGAGAGAGAGAGAAGGAATCAGGCTCCCCACTGAACAGAAAGCCTGACCTCGGAGCTCGATCCCAGGACCCTGGGATCATGACCTGAGCTGAAGGCAGAGGCTTTAACCCACTGAGCCACCCAGGCGCCTCCTATATTTTGGATATTTACCCCTTATCAGATGTGATTTGCAAATATTTTCTCCCATTGGTGAGTTGCCTTTTCATTTTGTTGATGGTTTCCTTTGCAATGCAGAGGCTTTTTAGTTTAATCCCATTTGTTTATTCATGCTTTTATTGCCTTTGCTTTTAGGGTCAAATGCAAAAAAAAAAAAAAAAAAAAAAAGATCTATACCAGGGAACTTACTGCCTATGTTTTCTTCTAGGAGTTTTATGGTTTCAGGTCTTACATTCAAATCTTTAATTCATTTTTATTTCATTTTTGTACATGGTGTAAGATAGTGGTC